GTTTTCTTGTATATATTCTTTTAGATATCAGCTTTTATATATTTTAAGTTTTCAATGTATTGTGGAAGTGTACAACTCCAAAACATGCCTCGAAGAAACACCATTCAATATGGTAGTATCATTATTTTTATATACCAATGACCTCCAGGCTGCATGCCACTATATCAGTATGGTCTAACTCAAAAATATCAATATCTCTTTAAATATTGATTTCTATGATCAAAATAAACCCAAAATTTTGGACTTACAGTGTTATTGTAATGGGCAACATAAGGTGAAAGTTACGAATTGTAAAAACTGAAATCTACTGTATAGGATGACGTTTTGTAAAGACATTTTTTGGAATTGTATGCCGATATAATGTATTGAAAATTTAAAATATATTAGTGCTAATATGTACATGAATGTATACTAGCCAACTTTGTCGGAAAATATCGACCCTAGTGGTACAAAAAGGGACTTAAGATCCATACAATTCAATTAGAAACAGAAGAACGATACTAAAAATACATCTTGGAACATTTAAGTACAGATCCATATAACAAAAATTATTATTTTTAGATGCCTCAAGGGGTCTATTAAATCCCAATATTAAAGTTTGGGTTTATTTCTGGAAAAAAGGAAAAAAATTGCAAATATGGTCAAAAATCGCCATTTTAATGATATTACATGAAAAGATGGTACAAATGCTCCAAAATTGTGGAACAAATGGGCCAAAAATATATAATTTCCGTCGATAGTAACCCCTTAACACAATTTTATGCAAAACAACACTCGATTATAATTTTTTTGTTTCGTATAATATGATCATATATGAAATACAGGAAAAATTCGAATACTTTTTTGAGGCAATTTTATGGACTTTTTTTAAAAAAAGCAAATCAATTGAGGTAAATGTAATTTTTCCAAATTTTAAAGAGTGTGATATTATACCATAGGACTCTCTAGACAATATAACAAATTTAATTATTCATTTCACACACAAAAAATATTATTAAATTATGTTTCTTTTCAAAGTACAACCAAATTCGAATACTTATGTGAGACACTGTATATGTATATACATTTACGATTCCATTACGATGAGGGTAGCGAAGCACACTGGTAGTATTATAATAAAACCATGCCATTACATTAAATACATATGTATGTATGTATGTATATTCGTATTAACGAATCACATAAACACTCTCATTACTTACTGAGTATTGTCTAACACTCTCTATTTTCAAATATACTATTCATTTCACAGTATTTGAATAAATTCAAATGTTTTAATTTATTATTTAAGTCACTCATGCAGGCCTCTAATATTCAGTGGCGAGCAAATCTGGGTACATGTTTAGCAAATAAAACTTAAAAATGCAATAAAACTCATTAAATAAAAGAAAAACAGATTAATTAAATTTAAACGTGCAAAAATTGATACATTGGCTTTTTTAATAAAATTGGCTAAAACATGAGATAAAGTTTCAATATTCGCGAATTTTAATTAAATATAATTAATTAAATTTAAACGTGCAAAAATTGATACATTGGCCTTTTAATAAAATTGGCTAAAACATGAGATAAAGTTTCAATATTCGCGAATTTTCTATTGTTTTCTTTTCTTATTCTTCTGTTGCTTATTTTAAATCAAATATCTAATTTTTTTTTAATATTTTCTGGATTTTATTAGGTTTTTATAATATAACTTGATTGATATGTATCCAGATATGCTCCCCACTGTATATCCCTTATAACATCCAGTATAGAAAACTTAATTTTTATAACCTTCACCTTCATGAGAGTTTGTAATTTCTATAATATGGGCAAAAATCCAAGACAACCTCTGAAAATTTCATCAAAAATTTATATTTTTATTCATGCTCACACAGAAACTCTAAACCAACAACAACAAAACACATACATAATCACGATACGGGGACTTTTTGGTACTTTTTCGTTCTACAAAAGATACTTTTTGAATTTTCTATAATATTGAACCTAGGGACATTAAATTAATTATGTAGAGCCCGGATTAGCTGAGAACCTATAAATTGGACTTTTTTGTTCCCCAAAAGGTACTTTTTAAATTTTCTATAATATTAAACATAGAAACATAAAATTAAGTATTTATAGTGACAACATGTAAAAAGGTACTTCTTGGTACTTTTTCGTTCCCCAAAAGGTACTTTTTGAATTTTATATAATATTAAACCTAGAAACATGAAATTAAGTATTTATAATTTGTTCTATGAATGGTACACTCTTTGGTTTTTGGCGATCGTATGTTTTCAAGAGATGAAAAATTAGGATAATTTATACATCGAGCCCTTTTTGCAAAATGGACGTAAGCGACATGATTTTCGATTTTCGTTTCTTTATAGAAATCGATAATTTAGGACCATTAGCATCATCTCTGAAAATTTCGTTGCCAATCGTTTCAACTTTACAAGAAAAAGAAAAAAGTCGTAAGTACACATATTTTCTGTTTATGAATTTTGTAACAGCAAGGTGTCGGTTACGTCTAAATTTTCTTTTAAAATATATTAAATTTATAGAGAAATTTTCAACAAATTAAAGTATTAAAATTGTTTGTGAATGAAATGCTACATATCTGTGTATAATTGTTATAAATTCTTGTAATTATCACTATGCCATTGCAACTTATGTGCAGAAATTTATAATTTTCTATAACTTTTTATGAATTTAGTTCATTTTAATTACTAATTACATTGCATTTATATTATTATCATTTAACCATTTATTATATTTGCTTGTAAATTTGTGGATTTCGGATGGCAGACCTGTAAATGGACTCTTAATGAATCGATACTACCAGATTTTACTTATTTATTCGATATATGGCGAATTGTACCATGTATGGATATTATATGGATATCTGGGTGATTTTCAGAATACGGCCTTTAACGAGAGATTTGGTCAATTGTGGACTAAGGTCTTAAGAATTTAAACGCGTGATTAGTTTTGAAAACAAATAATTTTTGTAGAATTTTATCATACTTTCTTAATTTCTGAATGATTTATTAACTGTAAACTTATTTTCTGCATGAGAGGCATATGAACCCATCTTAAAACATCATCATACATCGTTGCTATACTGATATTTTAAGTCAGCTATGGTCATTAAGTCATTTTCTTAAAGGATCCATATATGGAGGCAAGGGTCAAATATTGCCTGACATCTGTCATACTTCCCAACATAATTTAAAGGTATATAAAACTGACTTCTGCAAAATTTTATAGCGATGCTACATAAACAACATATTTTATAATGTTTTAACTATATACCGGGGAGCACTTGTATGGGGGCTAAGTGAAATCATGAACAAATATTGCCCATTTTTAACACCAAAGAATATTTGTCATCAATGAGCATTTTTGGAAAATTTCATCACTCTAGCTCCTAACGTTCGGAACCTATCCGGTTTTCAACAAACAGACTGATATACGGACATCGCTAGATGATCCTCAAATCTTATAAAAAAAATTTTATTACACTCATAAATTTCAGATATATACAAATTATATAAAGATATACACAAAAAAATTATTTTTTAGACAGAGAATTTAGACGTAACCGCCTTAACATTGTTTGTATTATAAAAATTTGTCTCGGATATAGCGTAAATATAAAATCGAAACAAACTGCATCCTATATTTTAGATGTAATAATATTTATTAACGGAGTTTTGGAGAAATGATTGCCCCTATTATGGTTTACAACTCAACTCTTCTTTAGTTGAAATTTTGCTCTTTGGTATTATCGATAACAACTTAAAATTTAAAGTTGAAATTTATTACAACTTTTTTGAAAAAAATTACAACTTATCAAAAGCAGTTGTAACAAATTACAACTCAATTGTTTAGAATAAATTTTTAAAATAAAACAAAGTAAAGTTTTTTTTTAAACATTTTTTTTAAATTTCATTAATCACTGATTTCAAGCGAATTTACAATAAAAAGATGTTCAATACATTTGTCATTTACGAAAAACAGAAATTCATAAACTTTTCACTTAATTTTATGACAAAAAAGCACTTTTTAGGTTGGCAACATCAACACAATTACAACTGAAATTGGTTGTAATTCATAATACCAAATATAAGTTGAGTTGTTCTAAAGTTGAGTTGTTTCAATTTCAACTCAACTGAGTTGAGTTGTAAACCATAATAGGGGCAGATATGTCCTACTTCGAAAATAATTAAAAAAATGCTTTCCTGTAAAATTTAGTTTTTGTCGGTTACGTCTTCTGTGCGAAAAGGGCTCGATATGTATACATATATGTTTTACAAAATTTCGTGTACTTATATATGTATAGGGCTTCAATAGCTCTATAATAGGTAGAAAGAAGAAATTGAAAGAACTTAATGCCCCTATGATTAAAGTAGTTAAAATGCGTGAAGTGATGTGACAGAAATAGAAGTGGCTTTTTTCTTTTTTGAAAAAAAAAGAAAAAAAAAATGGAAAAATCTGCGAGTTTCACATGTTGACAAAATGTAGCTACAGGGGGTGTGGCACCTCCGATATAAACAAATCTTAAATTAGTATATCTGAAAAAGTATAACAGATAGAGTCCTCAAATGAATATTTAGGACAAAAATTGGAGGACTAGCATGGGGCATGGCACCTACCATAGGAATTATAAACTAAAACTCGTTTATCTTTGAAACTATTGGAGTTAAAATCTTTAAATTTTGAACGAAAATCTTTAACATCCTTGTATATTGATTTTTGGGTAGCAAAGCACACAGGGTATAGCTAGCTACTAAATAATTTCTGATAAAAAACTAAATTTTGTTAATTCAATCTGTAGTCTGGAAACAGTTTTGATAATCACTCTAGCATATTATTAAAAATAGGTTCACACACATATATTTTTATGTTTATATTACGTCTTAATTTAGTATGTTATTTTCTTCATAATATGCGTTTTCCAGTTCTTTTTATTTCTGTATAATTTATTTTTAAGTTATAAACATTTTCTGTTTTTCCAGGGACCACTAATTCCTGCGGCATTTACAAATGGTTACCATTAAGTGGAGGCACCGACCGCAACAAATAAAACCAGTTAAGCAGCGGCAACAACCAACACAAAAAATATGTTAAAAAAATATATAAAAAACAACAACATCAGTTTTAAAAATATAAATATAAATATAAATGTTGCAATATGAAGAATAACAAAAAACCAAACCAATTACACCAAATACATATTTACATCAACTCTACTATATATATATATAAAATTAAAAAAAACAAAAAATATATACATAATTATATATATACAAAACTATATACTAAACATTTGCATATATACAAGCAAAAATTTAAAATATAAAAAATCCAAAAAAAAAAAAGTTTTTTAAACAAAAAAATTTTTAAACCATCATTAAAAAAACTACATCAACATTTTATAGAATTATGGAGGATAAAAAAAAAAATATTTAAACTCAGAGATGGATAAATCAACAAAGGAAGCCATCGCTACAACAAATAGACGAACAAAACTACAACTACACGTATACAATTTGAAAAAAAAATATAATTTAACAAATCATTTAATATTGTATGATTATTACAATTACGATTATTTTATTATTATTGCATTATTATTAAATGAATGCTATAATTTTTAATTTTTTGTAATAAATAATGTGAGCCAAAATAAATGTAAAAACAACAACACTGATGATGGTGAATGAGATAATTGTAATTGTAAATGATACAGAAATCAACAACAGCCACAAAAATTAAAACAAATAAATCCCCTTAATAAAAATTAGTAATTTAAGCTCGACAAAAATTATATAATATAGCAAATTATATTATTAAATAATGAACAACAAAAAGCCCCTACCCTATTTTTATCCCCCCTCCTAATCTTCCCTCAACATTTTAGTAAAAAAAAATATTAAAAACTATATAAAATATATACATAATATGTATTTTTTTAAATATACATCCTCCTAAAAAATTAATAAATAAATTATAAAAAAAGTAAACAAATTAAAACAAAGTTGATACGTTTTAATACCGCAGGATATAAAAACAAACACATTGTACTTGTTAACTGAACACTTTTGAAATGTGAGCAATGAAATCTTTTTTAAAACAATATAAAATTTTACACAGATACAAATATACACACACACCCACATACATACTCATGTTAAAAATTTGTATCTATAACATACATATTTCTAAAAAAAATAATTAACACCTAAAAGAAACTACATATTATGACAACAACAAAAATTCCATTAAAAGCTCTTTATATATGTATGTACCTGTGGTAAATAAATGAAACAATACAAGAACAACTTAAATTTCAAAAATATATATGATTCACGAAAGGCATGGAAAATCGAAATTCTAAAATAGTACTGAACCCCAACATAAAAGTATTTTTTAAACACTTTCCCAAAAACATTTTTATTAAAAAATAAACAAATTGGCTTTGGTGACTTTTGACAATACGTCACGAAAGTGAAGTGACTACTAATCCTAATGATTTTTCCTATATTTACTCTTAATTGACATCCGTTAAATGTCAAAATTTTGCTGGCCGTATTTTGGAATGTTACCGTAAAGATTTTATATTTCCATGATAAGGGCTAAACTAAATGATAGAGCATCAGACTAAATTCCCTAGTATACATCACGAGATACAATCTTATCATCGTAATGATAATACACTAAAATTGTCCCCATTTTATGCATTGATGATCCCCAGTTAACAATTTGCAAACCAAATGTATACGCATATATGTACATATGTACGTTGGGGTGGCCTCGTTTGTATATGGTGTCAATGTTCCCAACTAAAATTAAAGTTTAATTGATTCTAAGATACCGTCAATATTTGTTGAGCTGGATCAAAGGATAAGAAGGTCCTTTGAGGTTTATTTTTTATTTTTTTTTACATTACATCCAAAGCAAAGATCGCAAGATACAATATTGGTACCATAAAAAAGGTCCTTGAGAGACGCTTCCAAAATTTTTGTGTATCAACAAAAGTAATCGAAATTTTATAATTATTCGGAAAATTTTCACATTTTTTACATTTTAACACAGATGAATTTAATAAATTTCGTTGAAATTAATACATACATAATAATCCTCAATAAAATTTGCCGAAACGATTTCTCCATTTTTAAAAATTCAATCTAGATCGAATTTTATTTGAATTTATCAAAACCTATGTACGCTACCAAAACATTGCTAATAATGTAAACAACAATATACAAACCGTTATTAACAAAGCAAGCATAACAGCTCCCCAAAAATTGACGTCAGGACAAATATTTTGAGAAATGCATAGATTTCATCGGTTTTAACAAATGTATAAACAGTTCAATGGATCTGGATCTGTCAGTGATAATAATACTCATCTAAAAATAAACGACTTACACACTTTTCCGTGAACTAAAAACAAATCAGCTGTTTGATCACGAAAAGTAGAAACTAACTGAGCCTTTAGTGACCCTATTACTGGCTACAACTCAGTTAATTGAATTAAAATATTTATTTTGTATTAACTAATTCCAGTTGAAATTTATGTTGCCGGAAGTACAACTTGCTCCCTTATTTGAATAAGTTGAGCTATACATACTTTTCCTCCAGTGAATTTTAATACATATTTTCGTTGCTCCGTTTGTTGGTAAGTGTTTTCTTCAAATTTAATTCAAGACAATTTAAAAATGCTTTCCTTGCCGACTTCCCATTTTTTTTTTTCTAATAATTTATTTCAAATAAATGAGTTATAATTTTGTTGACAAACAAATTTTAAAAAATTAACTGTTTATTCTCTTAATTGTTAAATTCGTATTTCATGTCCTTATTTGTAATTTAACTAGCAATTACGAACATAGCAAAGTTGAAAGTTGTCGATAATTCCAAATACTTACACACATAAGGGGGATTTCATGAAACCGATGTCTTCCGATCGATATGAGATTTGCACAAACGTTAGTCCTATTGCATAGTAGAACTCTCTTAGTTACAGTGGGTAAAAGTTTGACATTTTTGCCGAACATGTGATCCTCTCATCTATGTAGCTTATTATCTGTTGTTCTTAGCAAAATTTATTCCAAGTAGTTTAGATAGCTATTAAGTTTTTTAATTCATTTTATTTTTGAAATTTGTGTCTAAACTACTGTACAATAGAACTACCAGTGATACAATTTCATACCGATCGGAAGACATCAATTTCAAAAGTTGGGTCACTCGGCATGTAATCTCTCATATGTAAAAATTTCAACTAGAGTAGTTGCTGAAATTGTACTTTGTTCATTTGCAACATTTTTGTTCACGAGCAATATAATGTAGAAGCTTCAAAAAATAAAAAATATAATTATACCTTTACATCAATATTAGGTAAGCTGGATCAAAGGAAAAAAAATATCCATTTTGGATGTTTTTGCGAATTTTTCCATATTTCTTGCAAAGACAATATACGAAATTTTGGTATTTATATGAAAGGTTTTAAAAGGCGATTTCAATGTCTTATAAGACATTAATGTGCGATTACAAAAGTATTAAACATTTTTGGATTTTTCGGAAAAATTTATAGATTTTCAAATTTTTACATAGAATTTTTTAATGTAGATAATTGAAATTATTAGATATTAAATATCATACAATTTCTCCGAAATGATTTTTTTAGTTTTTCAAAATTCCATCTACATAGTTAATATTTTATTTTAATTTTTCAAAACTGATTTTTTACATTATAGAACCATAATTTGTAATGAACGTTGCTTTAAAAAAACTCAAATAGAGTGTGATGTAGATTGAATTTCGGAAAGCGCCTCTCAAAGACCTTTCATTTGATATCAATATTCCATATCATTCCTTTACGTGAAACATAAAGAATTAGAAAAACCGCAAAAAAGAACCTTTTTATCCTTTGATCCAGCTCACCAAATATTGACCCCAGTACAAATATTTTGAGAAATGGTATCTTAGATTGAACGAAGCTTTAATTTTCGGTGAGAACATCAGTACCTTATTTTTTTCTCCATAGAAACGGGCCCACCCTAATATATATGAAAGGAGAAATTGGTTTCGAAAAATTTACAGAAGAAACTGTTTCGGTGAAATTATATGAGAAATTATATATGGGGCATTTCAACAATTTTCGAATAGGTTTTGTAACTTACCCTTTCCGATTTTAATGAAGTTTGGTACACACATTCTTTGTATAAATACGAAGTTTAAAGTTCTCCAAAATTTGCTAAATTCATTACAGGTTAGATTTTATCAAGGTTCAATTTCATATTTTTTAAGATTTTTTACCAAGCATTAAATTTGACATCGTATATTTTCTAAACTATTGATCTGATTTTAATCATTTTAGCCCCTTGCATGTAGTTTGACAATATTTTATTTAAAATATTATAGTTTTAACATAAGAATAATGATATCAAAAAACGTCTTTAGTCAAGGAAATAAATCATAAATAAATTTATGTATAATTAAAAAAAAAAAAAAATAGCAGACAAATTATAAATTATGTACTTTTATAATCGCACATTAATTTTTGATATGACATTGAAAGTGTCTTGTAAATACCATTCATATTTAAACAAATTTGTGTATATTTTCTTTGCATAAAATATGGAAAAAGGTATAAAAACTCCAAAAAGGATCCAGCGCAACAAATATTGACGGCAGAACAAAAATTTTTAGAAATGGTATCTTAGAATAAACTAAATTTTTATTTTCGGTGGGAATATCAGAATATCAATTTTTATGGAAACTTATAATTAAAAATTTAAATGTTTCCAGTTTTTTAGAAGGTTTTTGCACCAGTAATGCTGCTATATTTATCTCAAATTCATATTCCTTAATCAGAACTTCCTTGGCTGAATAATTTGAGTTTTGAGTTAAACAGCATTAAATGTTTTATGAATTTTTAATATTGTTTAAATAACTTTCAAATAGGTCGTTGTATTTGAAAAATAAAACCTAACATATAAAGTAGTCTTAAATATGTTTCATATCTGATCTTAAACTATACAATATTAAACTTGAACCTGAACCTTCATTTATGTAAAGAATGTGTGCACCAAACATTTACAAAACGACCCAGACCAAATAATTACGTCACTAGATTTTGTTTATGCTTAATCGTATTAGAATGTCTCCATTTTATTGCTACAAAAATACTATATAAAGAGTGTTCATCGGTTATGATTATTATTTTTTATATATTTTCAATTCTTACACGAAATACACACTCACTGTGTGAATACACATTATATGAAGAAATAAAAATTGTTATTCTTAAATTAACTAAATTTTTAGAAAAGAATTTCGATTCTTTAAGGATTCACAAAAGA